TTTTTCTGGTCCAGGATCCCACATAGCATTTAGTCATGTCTCCTCCTTTGTGTACTCCAATTTGCAATAGTTTCTTAGACTCTCTCTGCCTTTTATGACCTTGACATTTAGGAAGAGTAGTGGTCAGTTATTTTGTAGAATATCTCTCATTTTTGGCTGTTGATGTTTTCTCATGATTAAAGTTATGCTTTATTGGCAAGAAAAATCACAGAAGTGTTGCACCCTTCTCAGTGGGCACATGATGTCAATGAAAACTCTGGTCACTTGGTTACGGTGGAGTTCACAAAATCTCTCCACTATAAAGTCACTATTTTCTCCTTTGTTATCTTGAGGAAAGGCATCCTGTTTTTCATCCCTCCATCGACGGTCCTAAGAGAGACAAGCCCTAAGAAGCAACTTTAATTACAGCGCTGCTTTGTAAAAACTTTAAATGGTTTCTCCTTGTCTATGCAATGAGTAAAATCTCTAGCAGTCAAGGCCATCCAGTGTGCTCCAAGACCCAATCTACCTTTAATCTTCACTTCTCACTCTTCCTCTATAGACATACGGTGAAACAAAGTGGACCGCTTATTTGGTTAAACAGTACAGGGAGAATTTGAACACTATTAACTGAATGTCAGATTTCTGACATTCTGCTCATCCAACAAAGGCCCTGTATAAAAAGCCACGTCCACCTTTTCACCCCCAAATGACCTTTAACTTTAAATCCTTCCTGTACTCGGCCATAGCTCTCTCCCGGCACTTACTCCCTGTTTTAGAGTTATTTTCCGCCTGTACCTTAGCCTGTAAGATCATGTCAGGGTCTCTGTGACCTCTGCAGGCTCCGTGGAGCACACTGCAGCAGCACTCCTGTGTGTCTCCTGCTTCAGACTCCCAAAGCGCCAGGACTTGAGCAGTGCTCCGCCTGACCAACACTGCACACCATCTCGCTTTCTGGGAGTCAGTACCCCACAGTCTTTAAAGCAGCGGTTCTCAAACTGTGGGTCGCGACCCCTTTGGCAGTCGAACAACCCTTTAATACGGGTCGCCTAAGACCATCCTGCAGATCAGTTATTTACATGACGATTCATAACAGTAGCAACATGACAGTGTTGAAGTAGCCACGAAAATAATTTTATGGTTGGGTCACAACATGAGGAACTGTATTTAAAGGGCCAGAAGGTGGAGAACCACTGCTTGAAAGCCTTCCCTTCCAAATGCGACTCTATCAATAGTAGGAGAACTGGAAGGCAAACTTTTTTTGCTATAAAATGAGGATAACATCACCTCCTTCATAGGGCAAATGTTAGAATGAAATGAGATCGTGCCTTTAATGTGTTCTGCACAGTGCCTGGCACTCGGTACTCATAAGTGCTAACTCTTATTGTTACCATCCTCCTCACCATTACAAGGATCCTGGGGGCAGACGCTCAATGCACAGGCACGGAAACATGGAACAGGCTGATGAACCTCAGAAGGAAGGAGGGCAGGGGAGGGCGGGAAGAGATTAACCAAAGATCTTATATGCATACTAGAGGCCTCGTGCACGGATTCGTACTCCGATGGGGGTCCCTCAGCCTGGCCTGCAGGGATTGGACCGGAACTGGCAGTCTGACATCCCCTGAGGGGTCCTGGATTTAAAGGGCGCAGGCCAGGCCAAGGGACCCCACCAGCGCGCAAATCCGTGCACTGGACCTCTAGTAACATTATAAACAGGCTAAAAGGCAAGGGGGTGTGTGGGGGGAGGCCAGACTGGGAGCTCTAGGGTGAGGGAAGCAGGGCTGGTCTTAACTTAAAACAATTACTGGGCATCTACTATGTACCAGAGATTGTGCTGGTGTTAGGGTTTTGGGTACTTCGCAACACTGTACCCAAACTTTATGTACCAAAGTCTCACTGTCCACACCCACAATTTAGCATTTCTCACACCAAATATCAGTAAATCTCATTCTTACGGAAAAACAAAATGTTTTCTTCTACCACCATGTGATTTTATTTTTGTTTACCTTTAATGAAACTCCTAAACAGAAAGT